CCGCCTGAATTTTAAAATTCAACACGCCTGTCATGTAACTTGGTATTTCTGTCAATAGAGTCCAATACCCCCAATTTTGTCCGCAGTGAACTATTATGAGAGCCCACATAGGCACTGAGGTGAACATCGCCTTCCACGGTGTTTTCATCTTCTAAAAGGTACAAAATCATCCTAAATGTAAATATATTATATTATTTTTATTACATGTATGATCTTAATGAATTGTTAAATAAAATTGTTAAAAAAAATTAAAAAAAGATTGTCTACTAATAGTTGAACATAATAGTTGAAAACAAAAAGATGTTTAAACTTTAAATTAAAGAAAATCTTTCTTTATTTTACGATACCAAAAATTATTGAAAAGAAAAACAAATATATATGTAGCATAAAGTCATTAGTTGATTATTATAATGGATTTTTACTTTCTTGACTTCATCATCGCTTTTCGCTTCAGTTGTTTTTAATTGTTCTTCTATGTACATCTTCTCCTCTTGAGAAATACTGCGATGGTTGGACGGTGAGTCTGCTCCCAAATAATAGTATACTACGCTCCAGATGATCGATAATGTACCGAATAGATAAAAGATACTGGGCCAACCAACACTCGATTCTGCGAGAACTCCAGCAATCGGCATAGCGATTATTGTGCCAAACTGACCACCCGCATAAGCGAATGTTCCTTAGGAGGAGGATAAACTAGATTAACTTAATTATGAAGATGTATCCACAACATTACTATAAGCGAAACAATTAGTTGTTGTACGATAGAATTGTAAAATTTATTTTTCGCATGAAGTTCCTCGTTTATCAATAATCTTTTAAAATTTTTAGCAATATTTCAGTAACTTTTTAAATCACGTATTTAAATAGTTTTTCATAAAGCAATCTGTAAATCATTTATTTTCTGATACGATTGAAATATACTGGGCACAGATTCTGATCTATTCTCACCCAGCCGTGCCCTTTCTTCGGGCGGTGCCCACTTGGCGAGAAGGGTTTGAATGCAAGGTAATAGACAAGCCTGAGCGAGACCCATGCCTACCCTGCAAACCAGGACAGCCGGCAGACCTCCATAATGAGCGACGACCGGCGTAATAATTTTGAAAATTCCGCAGACAAACATTCCGATGCAGAGAATCTTCTGACCACTCCAGATATTGGCCAAGTAGCCACTCGGCACCTGTGTCACCACGTAGCCCCAGAAGAACGAGCTGAGCACCAAATCTTTCTCTTGTTTGTTCCAACCAAAATCCTGATGACATAATTAATATAATTTTTTTATGATTTTAAACCTTAATACTAAAATATGTAGCAGAATAATATTATCCGATAAAAAAGTTACATTAAAAATATTTAGATGTCTAAAATAGCTTTTAATGATTTATATTTATATCATATTAAGTCCGTACATATATATATATATACATATATATTAAAGAAATATAAATACGCGTGTAATAAAGAAAATATATCTAAACCAACAACTATTATATGATTTTCATGCTATATGATTTTTGTTCGTGGCAATTAATTATTTACAAATCATTTTAATTTATTTAACATAATTATATATCTATATACATACAGTATGTAATTACTCAACAACACAAAGTCTAAAGTTATGACATAAGACGTTTTTAAGTCGTCTTTTAGACACTTTTTTAGACGTCTTTCTCTGATTTTAGATACTTTTTGTTATCAATATGACGCATTCCACGTGTCAGGAGTCCATCTAAAAATACTGCTTGGAATTTTTTAAATGATCATGAAAACATGTTAGTATACATATTTGATATAATAAGTTTTAAAATCAAAAAATAAGGCATATAAATATTATAAATATTATAATATTATAAATATTATATGCTTTGTGTCCAAAATATTAGAGATAATTATAATTTTTATAATCGTTTTAAAACATTTTCTTTTCTTGATATTTGTAGCTAAAATTACAAAATATACAAAATTTTTATTCACATATTTTCAGAGATGTTTCCCGTACTTTCAAATAAAAACGTTAATTTTTAAACGTTAAATTTATTACAACTATTAACAAATAATTGAGCAATAATACATTGGAAAAATAAATGCAAAACGAGGTATCTTAAAAAATTTTTGTTTTATAGTGATTAAACTCCAATTTTGTCTTGGAAAAAATATTTGTTTACAAGCGATGTCAAATTTCCTTGGTACTATATCTTCTATACATATTAGAGTACTCTTGAGAATTTTTTCAGATTTTTAAAAATAGATATAATTTTTCATTTATTATTTAAAACTGAAAAATTAATTTTTTTATATTATTAAATTTTTTTCACTACAATTAACGTTTTTATCTAAAAGTTAAAATGAAAAAATTCTAAAAAATACATCTATAAAAATATTTATAAAAATTTTGTATATTTTGTGATTTTAAATATAAATGTCAAAGAGAGACAAATTTTTTAATACGATCATCTCGAATATCTTGGACGCAAGACGTATGATAATTCATTTCTTTTGACCTTAGACCTTATACAATATGTGTACTGACATGTTTTCATAATCATTTTAAAAATCCTAAGCAGTTTACTTTTAAATGGACTCTTGACACGTGGAATGCGCATTATACAATATATCATAATTTATAGTCATTAAAATGTTTCAGCTTTGGATGCTATTATGCTTAAATTTTTATCATTATTTATGTTTAGTCTCGATCTCTTGATCTTCCAGCATAAACAAGAATTCAAAAGTGATGATAGAAGATAAATCCGTCAAGTTTATCAACAATCGAAGAGACAATCGGCGATTAAAATCTGACAATTCATCATTGGCGATTCTTATTAGTGACCTTGGAAAGACAACGGTAGCTGTTATCTGCACTCGAGATCCATTTATGCGCAAGAAGTCGCGTAAGAGTGATTGTATCGGCTTCATATTCTACAGCTGGGTTAACATAAAGAATTGTGGAAAGCCCCTGTAACTAGATTTATCTAGTTACCGCGATTAATCTCGCGCAGAGGAACAGTGTTTCATCACATTCAGTCTGACCCAATACCCTTTACTCCCCCGATTCCGCGGATACTATTGAGGAAAATTTCCTTCCTTCGACACAGATTTCAGCTCGGTGACGGCGCTAATTTACGGGACATTCTGTGACCGGTAAAAACCGATCTATCGACGTAAGCAGTTACGCTCGATTGGATAAACTTAATAATTCAACAGCTTCAAATATCCTTTTTAACTGGATGCAATCCAATATAAAAGTCTACAGGATCTATGTCAAATCAATTGCGACAAATCATTTCGACAAATCAGTTCGACATTTTGAATGTAAAATTTAGTATCATATAAATCTAAATGTAAAAAAATATGAATGATATTTCAAATTAGTGTAAGATATTTAAAAAAAATCAAAGTTCTCCAAATAATCGGTCAAACTCAACAATTTCACAGAAATGTAAAATCGCACGCGAGATTTGTATCATTAAATTAATGACTACAAATATAAGGACGTACACAAAGCAATTGTAATGTTTTGTATAGATTTTCCCAAGCTACAATGAGTTCATCGAGTTATATAACATAGCATGTTCGGTACACTTCTCTGAAATCACAATCACTAAAACATAATCTCGAGTATTTTAAATTGTTTGATCAGTATCAGTGTCCAAGTTATCAATTTTAAGCCAAGATAAAAAGGCAATTACATAATTTTACCTCGATATTTGGATTCGCGGTACTCGAATTCGCCATTGGAACCACGGCAACTGACATTCCAACCCTGAGAGTGTACCCGATGGTCATGGCCAGGAAAAGTAGCAACGTTTGCAGATGTCTGATCCCGAACATACCTGCGAAAGAAGTTTATTCTTTTATTCCGAACAATACAATTTAATATCAAATTGATTAATATTTATTTTATATAAATATTATATATTATTATATATTATTTATTATTTTATTTATATAAATAATAACAAAACTTTCGAGAAATTCCTTATTCAATTATCTAAATTTGATACTTTTGTTACACAATTTATAAAAATAAAAGCTAATTAAAAATTATTTCATTATTTCTTATCATTTACAAATTTTCTTGATTTTCTGTTTAGAAAAAAATCAAGAATTTTCAGCGATCGAAAGAAATATGATTAATCAATCTAAAACGCGAATATCATTTTCAATTAACATTCAAGTTTAAGTTTGGATTAGAAATTATTGCCATCATAATGTTAAAATTAATCTTAAATCGAGATTAATCTCAAGTATTAATAGCGATAATTAAGTAAACGAGTTGAGCAAACAACAAAAGATGTTCAGATACAAACGACAAGTGGATGTAAAATTATGTGGTAGGTCGTAAAAAAAGCGTAATAAAATGAAAATGCAGTTTAGTAACTAACGACAATAATAAAGCAAAAGGTAATAATAAAAACATGAAAGAAATATAATATTAAACATAATAATAATGAATAATATTTCCTCATTTAGTAAAAAGTGAATAATTTTTGCCATTTAAAAAAAAAATTTGAAATTTTTTTCAGGACATATACTTATCGAAGGAATGATAAATTGTTAAGTATAATTATGAGTATATTGCAGTAATTATTTAATTTTACGCAGTTACCGCAACTGTAATAGCTATAATCTATAATTAATCCCATTTATTAACAAATGACAAATTCGATTAGCATAAATCCGCAGATATTAGTATCTGCCTACAAGTCTCGAAAGCGAGTTTCGCTCGCACCACGCGATGTTAGAAAAACGAATTAAACCATGGTCGTACTTCCGTAAGTCAATAAACTTGTTCTTTTTAACTGAATTTATATATCGTTTATCTTTTTTATTTTTTTCTTCAACGTGAAGAGAGAAATAAAAAGGATGAACCATCGTTACAAGAATTCGTTAAGAAAATTCGGGAATTCATGGTAGCATCATTTTTTTATCTTCGTTGTTCACTGAATGTTAAATAAAATAATGCACTCTGAATATTTTTAAACGCAATCTGAACTGAAAATAGACCTATTTTTTGTCTTTGCATTGGACTGAACTTTTTATTTCACTTTCGCCAAATTTCAAATATATTTTCATTTTAAGTACAATTAAAGTGTAGTTTACTAGAAAGAACATTTCCTCTTTTTCTCTTCACGTTGGAGAAAAAAAGAGAAAAAAGAAATAAATAGTTCACACTCATAAGTTCAGCTAAAAAGAAAAACAAATAAAACATTTTGCAACAAGTTTATATATTCAATTTAAAATGATCATCGATTTGCATCAAGATCAATTATTTAACATACAAAAATATATCAATTTCAATTAAAATTCATTCTATAACCAACAATTTTATACAAGAATCTTTGTTTTATAAATCGATTTAATCTTCAGATTTCACTTAGGAACGTTTATGGCTTGGATAGTGATTAAAGTTCCTGCATACTAATTCTCCGTTACAAAGTCGTTACTAATCAACACGTAATTACACAGAACACGTATAATTACGCAGGTATGTGCCGTTGATATCCAGTTAACATACAGCGAGATAATGGTTCGAGAGAAGAGAAACACGTGGATAACGTAGAAGAAAAGCGTATGCTATATCTTCAGATTTTTATGAAACAAATTTTATTCTTTGCAGAAAGAATAACTCCAAATTTCGATTTTAAAAAAGCATTATTCGCTTGTTATAGAGAAATTACTTTGAAACTTATCATTATATAAACTGATATACATTTCATTAATATTATAGAGATATAATAATTTCGAGATTATATTTTTAATTAGTCAGTGTTATCGTAGCCAATTTTATCAAGTAAAATATCCGATGATACAATGATAATGAGAACGAGAACCTTCTCAAAAATTTCAGAAGACATCATATTCCACAATAGTATATTATCAACATAAACATTGCATTCCTTAGAAAGTATAAGTAGAATGCGATAATATTAAATAAGTATTAAATCATAAGTGTAAAAAAATATGCCAAGTTCGAACGATACATTTCTCATCGAAATTAGATGATAACCAATCGATATAGCGAGTGAGATCCGATAAGACATAAGCAGGGGCAATCGTACAAAATAAGTCGTGATGATACGTAACGAGATTTATGAAGATACAGATATCGAGATAATATAATATATACGTGATAAAATATAAAAAAATATAATTTTTTTTCATAATATAATTATTCGTTAATAAGAGAGAACTTATATAAGTAATATACGACAAAATATATGGACCCGTCATCACGCACGATTTGTACTTTTGGATCATCGATCCCAAGTTATAGACGATAGCTCACTCTAAGTGTCGATAACGTGATGACGCTTTTTATTGCAATCGAAACGAAGCGAACTTACAACTTGCACGCCTGATAATCCTAGATAAAATAACCAAACGATAAACAAGAGAATTATCAAATACACGCTAGAAAAACACTTTCAACATCTTTAGTCGATAATTACAAAATAAAGACTCAAATGGTAGCATAACTGAGTCAATTAGAAGAAATATCGTATTTTCAAGAATTTTACGCATCTGCCTTCGCTTTATTAAATATTCCTCATTCATTTTTAAAAGTGCATTGTTATTATTGACGTTCCTGACTTCTTTTAATTATTATTATATTGTATGTGTTTGTATTTGTTATTACTATTATTTTTATATTTTTATTACTTTATTATTTCGATCTTTCTATATTTATTATGTTTGTTTTTAGTAATATAATAGATAGTTTATGGAAGACACTATATCACAAGTGACAAGCAATTTCAAAAACTACTTTTTCTCTGAGACTTTTCTTACCGCTCAAAAAATACCTTTATGCACATATTTTTCTAAATTGTTTTTTTTAAATAGTATATTTTTTTAAACTTAAAAGATCGAGCATGTTTCGCTACGCTTTATCTTCAAGGTGATCTTGCGAAGTTTAACAACGCAATTACATACTGTATTGTATACAACAAAATGTGTGCGGGCTATATTGCAATATGTGTATTCTAGACGAAATTACAATTGCACACAAAAAAAAAACAAATTCATGATATTATTCAACCGATCTGTATCGAAAGATCGTTTTGCATGTTAATGCAAACTCTACATTCGGTGTATCACAAATGGCTTTACATTTATTATGTTATAAATAATTTGCGATAATCCATTATTACTTCACTTTCACTGCTTCTTAATGCACTTTTGTAAATGATTTTTATTGAAAAAAATATAAAGATAATTTCACGCGTGTTTTTTTATTTCAGTGTTTCTTCACGATTATTAAACCGATATCAACGATTATGATTGCCTAAAGATCATTGGTTACGATTGACAAGATTAATTTAACGATACATTCCACACAACTACTACACTAGGATACACTAGATATCTTTGCGTTAAATCCTATTTGCAAACTTGTCTCATTACAACGTAAAAAAATAAGCGAACATATAAATCACTTAATTAAATTTAATGACTTCAATTCGATGAAGCTACAAATATTCTTCTACGCAAGGGAAACACGTGTGACATTTTGTGAGATTTTAAATGAAATTTTCATCGAAAATCATATCTCTATTTGGGTAAACCGTTCTTAAGATATTTCAATATTAAATTTAGTAACGCAATTCATTAAAATTTATACTCAAGTTTGTGGTACTTAAAAAATTTATGTTTTATTTATTTGTTTGTCATGTTTTATCATGTCAAAATTTATGAAGATAAGTAATCTGTAACAAAAATAATTATTTTTTTTATCTTAACAATTATTCCTATCATAAAATTATTACAGATTAACAGAAGAGAATTAATTGTTAATGAAGTTTGAACTCGAGTCTATAAGTTAAGAAGCTATTACCATATCCACTACGCTACAAATACTCAAGTATAAACGTTCTAATAAACTCTAATGAACTGCTGCTACTAAATTTAATATTGAAATTTAATATATCTCGAAAACGGTTTACGCTCAAATAGAAATATAATTATATTCAGGGAAACATACTTTATAATCCTGTTCAACTTTCATTGAAATCAGTGAATCACTTCTGAATCTTTCCTTGTAAATTCGTAATTACTTTATAAATTAATAATTCGCTAACTAATTCTGAATTTATACCTAGAAGCTATAAATTTTTATTTGTTCCAAGCGTTTCGTTGATTGAACAATATTTACGTGTCAATCGAACATATTTCTTCCCCATTTTAAACACATTTATAGAAAAATAGAAATACACGTTACAGAAATTTCATAGAAAAATAGATCTTTTATGACACCTGATGACTAGACATTTTTTCAAAAATTTGTTCATTGAATACAATTTCAGATAGTAAGTATCATTATCGTTAAAATGTCGGCATTTAAATAATTATTTTTAGACGTTAAAATGATGACATTAGCTTACTATCTGGGATAGATCTAATAACGAAATCGATTGGACGTTTTCAATGCGCACTGATACATATTAAAACCGTCGTGCATAAATTGACATAAAGATATGTTTATAATAAACATGAAAATCGGTTAAATCGTGAAATACTCAATACTTTATTGTGATGTTAGGTAAAATATATATTTTATAATTTGAAATACTTATTTTTCACTTTTACACTCCAATTAAATCATTGTATAATGGTTTTAATATGCACCAGTGCACACTAATGCTTCCAATTGAATTCGCTACAAGAAATCTGATTCTTAAATAAACTCCACAGATTACAATCGCAATCCTTTCAGTCGTCTACTAAATCCTTATTCGAGTATCAATTTCAAGTATTATCCACAATCACTGACGGTTTTCTTACAGCTCTGTTGTAGGATCGGAGATACCACGGTGGGCATCTTTTGCGACGTTTTCTCGACATCGGCGTCTTCATCCTTCTTGATAGCCGTCATTTCGCACGTCGCGTCTCCTCACACTCCGTTAAAATCCTTATCTCGCCCGCCGTGGCGATATTTATATGGGCATGCCCCTTCCTTTTCGGTCTCGTTTCCGTTCCCTCCCTCCATTATCATCGGCGCCGTCATCGTCGTTGTAGTTAACAGGTGATTTACCTGATTTCTCCCTTTGGACGGAGATCGAAATATCTAAAATCATAACTTAAATCCTTTTTAGAAAAAATATTTCTTCAGCAGAGTACAAAACAAATCTGAAGGAATTGTTTCGCGACGAAGCGAACATCAGCCTTAAGTCATTTTTTTCCGGATTTTCGAGTGCATTGCTCGTTCATTTGTAATATTATTATAGCATAATCGCAACCACTTCCAATAAATATCCGAATGTTTGAAAAGAGAAGCTCGGCAAACACAAGCAAATAATCTTTACAATTAAAAATAAATTCTCTAATTATGAGGAATAAGGATCTATGTGCTAGGACTATCCGATAGTAAAATTAAACGTGAAGCATTTTAATTCCTGTTTCAATAATAATTTTAATATAGTTTCTTCTTAGGCGACTTGTACAAACATATAAAAATATTGCATTTTGCACTTATTACAGATCCGCTTCTCTTAACTGAATCAAGTTGCTCGATTTATATTCGAAATGAAATACATACACATATCTGATTCTTTTTTTTTAAGAACAAAAAAGATGAAATGTAAGAAAAACAGATAAAAGAAGCGAATCCTGTATCTTACTCTGTTATACAAGCGTTATTCCCAATATCTTACACAAAAATCTTGAATCGTTCGATAAAATTGAGAAAATTCGCATGTATAACACTAAATTTAAAAATAAAATTATATCGACTATTTTTTTTATTTTATCTGTTATGATAACTTTATGATAACTTTCTACACAGTAAGTTATGGTACATTACTTCACATCCTTAGCCAACGTTAAACGGCTATGAGGATGCAAAAAAAATCGTATTCTACAATTCATTATGCAAAAATATAATAGTATTTAATTTATAATATTTATAGAAGTTATCGGTATTAAGCCCCGGCGCATATCTTCTGATTCTGGAAGCGTCACGTTACTGCGACCTTTGCTTTTTTCTAGCTGGTCCCTTGTCGTTCTCTTCTCTTTCCATGCTTTTCTTCGCAAGCCTGGAAGAGGTCCGAGTTGACGTTAAACGTACCGCCAATTCCGGAAGACTGAAACAATTAACGATGCAACAATGAATTTCGATGCGAAATTTACAATGATAAATAATAAAATCGCTTCAACTCTTTCGCTACTACAATAAAATTTTAATATATTTTATTATTATTGCTGGAGTAAGTATGTTTTCAACGGCGCGTGGATTTTAGCGTGCCTAAGATATTTATTTTTTAAGTTATTGTATTGCAACATTAAACATAGAAGTCTTTTTTTATTCAATATCTTTGAATTTTTTTAATATTTTGCTATAACTTTGACAATAAATTACGATATATATAGTTAATGTTCTGCATTAACAATAAATGTAATATACAATTAGGTAGTTTTAAGTAAAGCAAAAAATCGATTAAAAGAAAAATTATGTCACGTGATAAGTACTTAAGATAATTCATATCTAATCTTTTTTAATTATAAAAAAACATATTTTTGATTCGCTAACAATCAACTTATTGTTAAGCAATAGAAAATATGTTACTGTTTTCCAAAATGTACAGTAATCATTCATCAATAATTTATTCAATGGCAATTTACTTCAATACGATTGGTTCTTGCTTTTGGTTCCTTATAGAACTAAATATATAAACCAATCATAATGAAGAATTTTACAACAGTTGCAAAGCCGCTTTCTCTGCTGAACGCAGCCATTGAAAGATAATTTCCGTGTTTATTATATAACACACAAAAAATAAATTTATTTCGTATAATTAGAAAATTATATAATTCTTCACTTTCCGTAAAATAATATAATTACAATAAAAGAAGTCTCTGGAATCTTAAGAAATAATAACTTCAGTACTCACCCTAATTGATCAACTTTCTGCCGCTTTCCATTTGGTGTCTTTGCGTTATTCTTTTTTGTGTTTATTTCCGCATCAGACAGCGTTTCCTTCGCGTTATTGTTCTTTGTGGACGACGTTTCTTCCTTATTTAATGATGTTTCGTTCGTATTATTATCCTTCGCGGACGATGTTTCTTTCCCATTCAATGACGTTTTTTTCACATTATTGTTCTTCGCGGGCAACGTCTCTTTCTCGCTCAATAATGTTTCTTTCGCATTATTATCCTTCGCGGGCAACGTCTCTTTCTCGTTCAATAATGTTTCTTTCGCATTATTATCCTTCGCGGTGTTCTTTTTGCGTGAATTCGTCTGAGTGTGTTGCGACAAGGGCAGTCGCGATTTCTGCGAGGCCTGGGACGCGTAGGTCTTCGAGGTAAGCTGCGTAGGCGGCACGATACCATTATTTTCGTAGTAACGGGATAATCGAAGAGTCACACTTTTAGAGCAGTTAAACGTCTTGTAGATGCCCACCAGAGAGTCGGCCAGTTCGAACATATTCGAACGTAACGAGATGACGATAAACTGTGCATTCTTCGTGCGCTCTTTGATGTAATTACCAACAATGGAGACGTTCTTAAAGTCGAGTGCTGCATCGATCTCATCCATAAAGTACACAGGCGTGGGTTTGTAATGATGAAGGGCGAAAACCAGCGCCAACGAACTTAGAGTCTTCTCACCGCCACTGAGTTTATCGATGCTCTTCCATGATTTCTTGGGCGGACGCACACTAAATACAATACCCTCGCTTAACGGATCTAACGAATCCACCAGTTCTAACTCTGCATCGCCGCCAAGCGTAATCATCTGATACATCTCCTTTAACTTGGTAGTGATCAGAGTAAAACCATGTAGGAATTCCTGGATCCTGCGTCGTCGAGCAGTCTCGTAGATGTCACGCATCTTGTTGCGTATCGACGTCGTCTCTTCCAGGTCAGCGGCACGGTTCATATACAGCGCATCTTTCTCCTCATAGTCCGCAATGATTTGCATGTTGGGTATCTGCTCGGGTAGCTTTTTCTTTATCTTCGCCAAATTCTGCAGCAACATCTTTATATCTAATTGATCAATCTCCTCCTCAGTCAGATTCTTAAGTGGCTCTAAAGTCTCATGGGGAATCTGGCGTAGTTTCAGATTCTTTAAGTCCCGGTTATATGCGGGAATCATTTGCTGGACTTCCTTTAACGATTTTTTATTCTCTTGTAATTTCTGCTCCACATCGATCTTCACCGCCTTCATCTTGTCCTCGCGCGCCTGCAGTTCATTCAACTCGTCCTTCAAAGACAATGTGGCGTCGTCCCGCTCTACCAATGCCTCATTGAGTCCCTTTAATTCATCTAGAATGACTTTAGCATGTTCCTCGAGTTCGGATTTTTCCTTCTGAATGTCCCTTAGCCTCTGCTCGCAGGTGTGTACATCGTTTTCTAGCGTTTCTATGTGTTTCTCAGTCTTCTTGACGTTTCTCTCGGCAGTCTTAATAGCCACCTGCAGACGATATATCTCCGCCTTAGTTTTATCTATCGATTTAGTCAGCTGCGCAATTTTCGCCTGCTGATCCCGCACTCGACTGCCGGAGATATCATCTATCTTCTTATTGATACGTTCCACCTCTTGCTCTACTGAAGCGGAATTCTCTTCGACTTCGTCCAGATGCAATTTCGTCGCGTCCACCGCTTTCTGCAGTTGCATAACTTTCTTTGGGTCTGCTACAGCGTTCGCGGCAGTTTTTTCCTGTGCCTTCAGTTGCGCTCGCAACGATGGCTCCTGCTCGCTCAGCGTCTGTACCTCGATATTAAATCTCTGCTGATCAACTTTCATATCTTTCAAACCGGATGTCAACACATAGACCTGTTCTTCCAGAGGTTTCTGCTTCGCTCTCAGCTTATTGCACTCTTCAAATACAGTATCCAGCTGCGATTGTAATTTTTCGATATCAGCGTTCGACGGCTCATTCCTCACCACCTTCTGACCCATCCGACCTCGGAATACTGTGCGACCACCACCACTCATCGTACCCGACAGCTCAATCAGTTCGCCTTTCAATGTTACCACACGATATCGTATGCTACCATAAGCGATGCGCGTTGCCTGATCCAAATCCTGCGCTACCAAAGTGTCTTGTAGACCATAATAGAACGCTGGCAGCACTCGCTTATCTTCTACTTTAATCAGATCAAACAGTCGATGTACGTTCTCTGGTGCTTGGATCCTCTGATTGATCTTACTTTGGAATCGTTGCTGTTTTTCTAAAGCTATAAATGTAGCGCGTCCTATGTTATGTTGTCGCAGATAGGTGATACATGCCTGCGCAGTGGTTACCGTGTCCACAACAATGTCGTCTAGTGGACCGCATGCCGTCGACACAGCGACATCATATTTGGCGTCAATGGCGCCCAAATCGCCCTATACAGAAACAAATTCTTACAAAATGCTACTTCAAGCGAAAGAAAATCTTAATATTCGCAGATCCAGCATCACTTCAAATTAATGTATCTTTGTTTAAAGTTAATGTAATTAAATAATTTCGAGAAAATAAAATGTAGAGGATATCTATTCTTTAAAAAAATATTAATAACGTCAATTAGATTATTTTGTTGGAACTTCGGATGACACAACCGAAAAATCTATTTTTATTTTCTCGACTATTCATATAGAATCTTCATATAATAAAAGATTAATATCTGAAATGATACACATTAAAAAACAGAAGCATGGAATAAACAGATAAAATGACACGGAGTCTATGCCTGAAGCATATTCTAACATTATACATTCTCTGTCTCCTTCCTAATATCTTTTTTCCTTTGCCCTCCCCCCCCTCCCTTTTTGTTGTTTTCCGTTCTCGATTAGTGTTTTTCTTTTCGACATTGTGTTATTCGATATTGTGGAAGTCAGATGTTCGCTACTCTTTGCTTAAAAAAATTTTTGAAAAAACCATTATGCGATATGTGGATTAACATCTACCTGTGTTTT